ATTCTGCATATGAGGAATACCACTTGGATGCCTAGTTAGAATGGTAATTCGGAATTTTCTCTAGAATTACTAGGAATATGATAAAAGACTTGTATGATCTCCCTTCATTTTCCTTCTGACTCTGGAACCCAGATCTGGATCCCCTTTCCTCCTTCTCCTTCTGGAGTCTGGATCCTGATCCCGATTCTCCAGCTCACTCTTACTGACTAGTTAAATTCCAAAACCATGAGGGGTTGGGGTTACACATAGGTGTGGCCTCAATCAATAGGGGTAAAGTTCTTTCCCTCAGGGAAAGCCACTTCTAGGATGGAAACTCTCTCAGCAGGACGACCCACGCTAGAGCGAATTCCCTGGGTGTGTTTCTCCTCTCCTTGTCCAACAAACATATAAGCATACATAATATAAATCGTTTTGTATGGATACAAGTTAAAGTGTTTATCCCCATTATCATTACTGAACATATTTTTTGGAAGTCCTAGCCACAGCATTTAGACAAGAGAAACAAAATTAAATGATTCAAGTTAATATCACAGTATTTAGACTATCCCTTGTATAATAATCTCTGGGTCACTAAGGAAGCCCCGGGGGACTCTCCCCCTCACTGCCTAGGTTCAGTGGGCTTGGACCGCTGCCCCAGCTGGGACAGCCCATGTCATGGGCAGACGAAGGAGGATATGAGGGCCAAGCCAGTTCGTGGCCAGTTGCCTTTTATTCCATTCTCCCAACGTGCCTGTTCCAGTCTCTCTAAGCCCCCCATTCTAGTCTCATACTGCCCCTCATTCTTGTCTTCTCCTGTCTCTCCCGCTCCATCTTGCAACCTCGGTTATCTCCATGTGCCTGCTCCTGTATTACTCTTCTACATTCTTCACCCTCTGTCTCCCTTGCTCGTCACTTCTCGGTACTCCATCTTGCTGCCCTGCTTTCTTTCTCTCATTTCTCCAACTTCTCTCTCCAACTCCCTCCTCTCTCTCCAATTCCCTCCCACTGAGGGTAGATGCTATACCCAGTCAGGTAGCAAAATTAACATAAGAAAGCCCTTCCTGGCTGCCCATTAGGCTCAAGGGCAGAAAAGCCACCTGGGGGCCATTCTTCTCCTTAGTCCAATACCTTAATTAACATCTTGACTAACATCTTTTCTTTTTTTGTTTTCATTTTTTTGATTAACATCTTAATTCTACTTTTTAATATTAGTCATTTTGTATGGACACAGTAAGAGATACATTGAGCTTGTAGGGGGAGGCTCTCCTGGAAATAATCTCTCTATGGACTCAGACTACAGTGCTCAGGCCATATTAATCATTCCTAATCCTAGCAGGGTCCGAATCTAGTTATTGCTTTTTGAATAATGACAGTATTTGTCCATGACCAAGCACTTAACTTACAGTTAAACATTATGGCACTTTGGCCAGGCCCATTTCAATGCCAGGGTAGCACATAGTTTACCACTTACCCTGAGTCCATCCAATCCCTCGTTGGGACCCTGCTTTGAGGGTGCTAGGAAGTAAGGACAACTAAGGCTTAGGTTGAGAGAACAGATGTTCAGGAGGTAAATATCATTCAGAGTCAATTAACTCCCTCTTTACAAAAGCATAGCATTAACTGTCTTCTTGTGTCCAAACAAAAGGACATTGCTCTGAATTAACTATGCAGAGGACTTAAGGAGAAGAGAAAAACAATATTTACTAGTCAACAGAGCACAAAGAAAGAAGTTACAAATAAACACAAAGGAATGGGAGCACTGTGATGAGAGTAACCTAATAAACCTAAGCTCCCTGTGGCAAAGTGGAAAGGACAAACCAATGTTATCCTACAATCCCTATCTTCATATTAATAGATGGATTTCATCAAATACCCTAAATATTTCACAAAAATATTTTTGGAAACAATAAACCAGTTTAGTAATGTGATTGATTAAATATATATACAGAAACATATTTCATTTGTATATGCAAACAATAAATTAGAAAATAAATGAAATTTTAAAAACTGTTTACAGTTGCATCGCCAAAATTTAAGTACATTAGAATCAACTTAGCAAAATGGCTGAAAGAGATACATAGTAAACTTTGTCTTTATTAAAAGATGTGAGAGAAGACACAAGCAAATGTAAAAATGTATATTAAATATAAAGATATAGAAAGGGAGTAAATGGGTAAAAAAATGACCCCTGTGAGATTTTATTATGAATCTAAAAGTGCTCTAAATTAAAACCGTCTATTTAAAAGCAAAAGAATTAAATATCAAATGAATGCATTCTTATAGTGCACATCAGAAGCAGTACTTATTCATCAAACAAATCTTGTATATAAATAATGGCACAAGGAAAGACAATAAAAATAAACAAATTTAAATAGATTATTTCTAAATACTTCCAGAAAATATGAGGGTCAATATTCACATATAAAGAGAATCACCTTTTTTTATTAGTTAGACACCATGAGGTACAGTTATAGACTTACAAATTTTGTGCTTGAGTTTCAATTATATCAATGATCAAATACCCATCCCTCCACCAGTGCCCATTTCCCTTCACCACGGATCCCAGTATCCCTCCCCCTCACTCCCCCCCATCCCACCTACCTCTGTGGCAGGGCATTCCCCTCTGTTCTCTCTCTCCTTTTGGGTGTTGTGGTTTGCAAAAGAAGCATTGAGTGGCAATGATGTTTGGTCTATAGTCTACTTTCAGCATGCTTCTCCCATCCTGCGAGGATCCTCCCAACACCCTTTATTTGGTGCTCCTTTCTCTATCTGAGCTGCCTTTTCCCCTAGCATGTGTGGCTGGCCTCCAAGCCATGGGGTGAACCTCCTGGTACTTATCTCGGCTATTCTTGGGTGTTAGTCTCCTATTTTGTTACTTTATGTTCCCCAGATGAATGCAATCTTTCTATGTCTGTCCCTCTCTTTCTGACTCATTTCCCTTAACATGATACTTTCCATGTAGTACCACTTGCATGTACATTTCATGACTTCATCTTTTCTAACCGCTACATAGTACTCCATTGTATAAATGTACCAAAGTTTCATTAACCAATCATTTGTTCTCAGGCACTCAGGTTTTTTCCAGATTCTGGCTATTGTAAAGAGTGCTGCAATGAACAAACGAGTGCAGATGTCACTTCAACTATACTTTTTTGCCTCTCTGGATATATTCCCAGGAGTGGTATTGCTGGGTCAAATGGGAGCTTAGTTTCTAGTTTTTTGAGAATAGTCCATACTGTTTTCCTAAAGGGCTGAACCAGTCGGCATTCCCACCAGCAGTGAAGGAGGTTCCCTCTCTCACCACATCAATGCCAGCACTGGTTGCTTTTGTCCTTGTGGATGTGGGCCAGTCTCTGTGGTGTGAAATGATACCTCATTGTGGTTTTGATCTGCATCTCCCTGATGATTAATGATGTGGAGCATTTTCTCATGTGCCTTTTAGCTATTCGGATTTCTTCTTTGAGAGAATCACTTTTTAAGGTCATATGGACAGGCAAACTGAAGAGCAATGATTTTACTAGACTATGGTAATTATTTTTGCAATATATACTAACATTGAATTATTGTTTTGTTCATATTAAAGGAAAATATAGTTATTTTCAAAGTGTACCTAATATGGTTAAAAATATACAAGAAAATTCTAAATGAAGTACCACTTCACACAAATAGAGTGGAAAATAAATTTAGTCCACACCTGGCAGTGCTCAGAGCTTACTCCTGGCTCTGTGATCAGGGATCACTCCTGGCAGGCACAGGACATCAGATGGGAAGCAAAAGAACAAACTCAGGTCAACTGTTTCCAAGGCAAACATCTTCCACACTACAGTATTGCTCTGGCCCTGAGAACATGTTTTCAAACAGGAAATACAAGGTATTTGGAGCATGGGGTAGAGAAGAACCATGTTGAGCAACAAAAAATATTAAATTCCTAGTGAAAATGTGAAATAAAACAGTCACTTCATAAAAGGGGCTAGGAATTGCAGAGTTAATCCTCTAACTTTCTTGCTTCCTTTTACCGGGTAATTTCACTTTAAATCATTTATCCCTGAGATATCAAACTATACATTCTAGAAAAGAATAATTGAATATGCTGGTTTACATATTATTTATTTACAATAGACAAAATATTTACAATTTTAGTATTATAAGTATCAACACAAAAATAAAGTGTGACTCATGCATAGAAGACTCAGTTTTAAGACTCAGCTTTAAAAAGGCATAAGCCACCAATAAATGAAATGCAATGACATGGTTAATCTAATGAAGTATTTAACTGAGTAAAAGAAATTATAAGCCCATAATTTAAAATATGATCACAAGTGCATGAAGTCAGAGGTCAAGCAAAAATAGACATTGATAATAGAGAAAAATAGTAACTGTAGAACATTACGGCAAGAAAATACATGAAGGATCTTTCATAGGTGATCATAACATTTTATGTCTTGACTGAGGTTTGAGTATCTGACTTTAGTCACAATCAAACATATCAAACTGTACAGGTTTTAATCTGCACTGAACACATTTTTAATTATACTTTCAAAGATTATGAAATAGCATTAAAGATGAAGCTGAGGATCATCTTTTTGATCAAAGTGGATTTTGATATTTAGGCCACATCTTACCTGCTGAAGGCTTACTCCAAGCTCAGGGATCACCCCTGGGAGGGCTGGGGGACCAAATGGGATGTCAAGATCAAACCTAGACTGGGTACAGGCAAGGCAAACAACCCACCTAGTTAACTATGTCTCCCATTCCGTCAAAGTAGATTTTTCAAACACCCTAGACATGGGTTTGCTAAAATCACTTGACATGGTGGTGAATGGTATGGATCATGTTGTCAGGTTATCCTTGAGTCTGTCTTCAGGGTGTCAGACAGGTATAGCTGTGTTAAACCGTTATTAGGAGGGAAGAGCTTATTTTAAAATAAGGGGCCCAGGTATGAAAAACATAGGAAACTTCCCAAACTGAAGGAAATATTGACTCTCAAAGCCATGCCTGCATGATAAATTAGCACCTCTAAATTAGGACAAATGCCTGCTTTCCAACATCTCCAGGGTCTCCTGAGGAGGGCTGCCTTGGTTTCCATCCACGTCAGGAACATCCTGCAGAGCCCTCCTTAGAACCAACCTGAGGTTCTGCCTTTGATGCTGCTTCCGCTGCCGAAAGGAGCCAACAAAGAAGTAAATGATGGGGTTGGCACAGCAGTTAATACAAGTTAGTACATAAGTAGGTGGATAAAGTTTGTAGGCGTATATAGTAATCTTCTCTTCAATCCAGAATAGCAGGAACCAGTTGATGCCCCAGGGCAGACCACAGACGAGGAAGATTAGCACTGTGAGTCCGATGGTCACATACAGTCTGGTCAGCTGCGTCCTTTTGAAGACATATAACAACCTGACCAACAATATCAGATTTGAAATAGATAGAAACAAAAGTGAGAAAATCAGCCATGCAGCAATGACAAAATCAAATTTCCAGCACAATAAAGAAGACCAACAGTATTTCTTATTCAGGATGCTCAGCAACAAGGACAAGGCCCAGAGCAGGGCACAGATGAGAGATGAAATATGATTTTGTCGGTGGCAACGAAACCAGATGGGAAACAGCACTGAGAGGCACCGCTCAGTGCTAATGGCACTGAGAAGACTCAGGCCTGTGATGTAGGTAGAGATGAACATTATGTAGAAAATTTCAGGGATGTCGAAATGACTGCAATTGGTGATCGAAATGACCCTGTTCAGGGAGAAAATAAACTGGGAAAAGAGATAGATAAAATCAGCGCCAGCTAAGTTGAGGATGTAGATGGAGAAAGCATTTCTCTGCATCTGGAAGCCCAGGAACCAAAGAACAATAGCATTTCCTGCTAGCCCAACCAGGGTAATGATGATTATCAGTAAGTTTATGATCAAGATCTTCAAGTCCCATCTTGAGTCACAGCTCCAATCACTGCCACTCAGTGTTGTAGATTCAACGCCCCTAGCTGAGATAGTTGGATCCATGTTCATAAGCCCACTGCTTACGGTGCTCCTGGAAATATAAACAGTACTGAAGAATTTGCAGTGTAATCAGTGATTTCATGGCAGCATTCTAATTGACAACGACTATTCCATGTTACAGAGGAGGATTAGATACTTGCAGAGATAAGATACTCACTGACAGTTACATAGCTTTGGAGAATCCCTGCATTTTGTCTCTGTTCTTTCTGAGTATAAAGTGGGATTTCTCTCCTGAAACCCACCCCTTGACATACATTTACTATTCTATGACCCTATTACCTCCACTAGTTGCTAGGTCCAGCCTTGTTGTTGGAGGAGAGAAGACAGGGCAGGCTATGAGGAACACCATCAGCATGGTCTATACAGCATACCTTTTGTCTGAGAACTAGCTTTCCTCTTTGGTGCAAGATGTTGGAAGTTCCAGGAATTATCTACAACATTAGGGATTGAGTGTGGTCCTCTCAGCAAGAAAATGAGATGTATTATTGAGCTTACAAGTGGAGTTTGAGCTTTGTTAGAATACTGTTGCATATAGCTAGGCTTGTTGGGCTAGTAATTGCCCAGTGTGTCAGTTCTCTAAAGATTGCTGTTCTTTTTTACACTTCATTAATATGTTTCTAAGTCTAAAATTTGTAAGAGACATTGAGAGTCATTATACAGATTTATCTTCAACAAATAGATGAAGAATGAGTGAATAGGAACTTTAAAGATAAAGAAAATGAGCTAAACGTAACTAAAGTCTACTTGAAAGGAAATGTCATTGGAAAAATCACATATAAATACATCTTTAAAAAATAATTTCTCATCTTATTGTGAAAATCTCTTTTCACTTGATAATATTCTTAATGTTGTATAATAATCATTATGACTATGTTGGCCAGCCATAAATGCAATTGTTCTGCTATGTGTATGTCTATTTTCCTTCATTGATAACTAAATATTGATAACTTGAACCTGTCTCATTTTGGTGTTTATTGTTCAATATTTAAAAACCCTTATCCAGGGAGCTCAGATGGAGAAGGGAGCACCAAATAAAGGATGTTGGGAGGATCCTCCCAGGATGGGAGAAGCATTCTGAAAGTAGACTATAGGCCAAATATGATTGCCAGTCAATGCCTCTCTTGCAAACCACAGTACCCAAAAGGAGAGAGAGAAAACAAAAGGGAATGCCCTGCAACAGAGGCAGGGTGGGTTGGGGGTGGGAGGGATACTGGGACCCGTGGAGGTGAAAAATGGGCACTGGTGGAGGGATGGGTACTTGATCATTGTATAATTGACACCCAAGCACAAAAATTTGTAAGTCTGTAACTTTACCTCATGGTGTTTCACTAAATAAATAAATAAATAAATAATGGGATTATGCCAAAAAATAAAATAAAAATATAAACCCTTATCCAGCCATCATCTCCTAGAGGTCATCTATTATATTATTCTCAAAAACAAAAAGGTAACTCAAAAAGAAAATTAGTGATTTTCTTATATTTTGCAATAAAGCATAAGTCCAAATCAGCCCTGATCCTCTATAGATTGTTCTCTTCCCACTATTCTCAATATTTTGTCACATCATTCTTTATGAGAGCAGAGCTCAAGAAAAATCTCCACTGCATCAGATTATAAGGATAACTGGTGGCTATAAGGATCATAATTTATCACCATAGCCCATCTCCTTCACTCAAGAATTAGTGTTCACAGAATTTTTAAAACAGAAAATGAATCTATTTATGTACGACCCTATGTGAGACATGCCCTGACAAAAGGAGGTGAGCTGAGAAAGACATCCTCTCCTTACTCTCTTTTCTTCCTCTTCCCTAGATCTGAAGCCCATGTGTCCTGAAGGTCATGTAGGGAATGGAGTATGAAATCATGTCTTTTTAATAGGGGTCAACTATTGCCAGGGACATGCTCCTTCATACCTTCTCCATGAGTCCAGTCCTAGTAACGGAAGTCACGATAACAGTGGGACTCTTTCTACCACAACAAATACATAGACTTAAAATACTTGTAAATGCATGTCCAACCAACGTTTAAGATAAAAGAACAACTAATTTTATTGATGCATTTAAAATGATTGTGAGTAACCATTTTCCCCAAACTGACAAAGATGGAGATATGTAACAAAACTAAAGCAAGGAAATCAGAAACCAATTCAATCAAATGGAAAAAGTCCCAAGACAAACCTACTCCAAACAGGCTAAAGAATATATGAATGCTCTCCATTTGCCCTCAAACCCCATTTCCTTCTATACCTCCTCAGCATCAAAGGAGTAAATTCGTCTGTATCCCGCAACCAGGCCCTCTTAATTCACTGCAACTGGGATGTTCAGAGAGGAGATACAGAATGGAGAATGAGGACAGGAGGAGATATATTTGGAATTTTAACTACCTGGATTTCTCCTTGCCAGACTATGGCTTGGCAGCGGTTATAAAAATAAATCTATGGTTCCCTTAATATACCTCCCTGGTGCTTTTCCTACCCTACAGTTACACTAATTGCTTCAATTGTTATCTCCTTTCGTCTTTTTTTATAAAAAAAATATTTTTAGGCACCATGGCCTACAAAATTGTTACTGGTGCAGTTGTATGAATAAACATTCCAGCAACACACCCTCCACCAAGGTGTGCACTTCTCTCTATCACTGTCCTATTGTCAACCAAAATTTGCTTCTCTCTATGATAAGCTTCCTTCATATATCCTCCCAAGTTTATAATGTGTAAGTTCTCTGTTATTACTTCTACTGATGGGTTAGTAATTCATATAAATTTCCCTGAACTATTGATATGAATAAATTGCCTCCTTATTAAACTATTATCTGCATTTATATTTTAGAACATCTGAATTTTTTGTAGTAAATTAAGGTATGTAGGCAAGGAAATAACTTTCTAAAAATAAGTAAAGCAATACACTGGATTGCTCACAGAACTTTGGATAAGAGATACTGGCATATAGTCAACATTTATCTATCAGTTAGAGACACAATCTATTCAATAGTGACAGAAATTTCATGTGGGGATGAAGGGAAGAATGTGAGGAGGAAACTTTAAAAGTAAAACATGGTCCTTTACTATCTCTTACATTCTGTGTTGAACTTTCCAGTCTCCAACCATCAGAAAGGGAACCTATATCTTTTGTCCTGATGTATTCATGTGGATTCCAGGTCAAGGTATATGTATGTGCCTAAGAACCAAATACACACCAGTGACATCAGACATAAACTGGTTGTAACATACCTTTCCTCCATTCTTCTTTAAAGGTGACAAGCAGACTCCTGCTGAATTGAAGAACTCCTGGGAAGAACAGCCCCTCAGAGAGGAGATGGCAGAAGAAGGAGAATGTGGTGCTGGAGGGAGGCTTATCAACTTTTGGGCAGCTCCTGTGATTTCCTGTACAGGGACGTGATGAAAAATGAGAGCACAAGATCATTTGAGTCATGACAGCCATGGGGTGGTTTCTCAATATTTTATCTGATTTTAGTCCTATCTCTCAATCCGGACATCCCCACTCACATGTGGTCCTCGTTCCTGCAAATGATTATTGTATTCTTTCATTTCTAAAGGTGTTCCAGGGCAGCAATGATGAGTAATGGAAGTTATTCTTGGGAGACTTTATTACAAAGATTAACACACATCCTACTCACCAAGCATTTAAACCCCTCCATGCTATGTCCTATAATTTTTTTATCAGAGTAATAGTTAATGGAGTTCACATTTTCTTTAAGATTGACCACAGAAGAAGATCAAATCTGTGATGAAAGTATTTATGATCTAATTTTCAAATCATTTCATTTTCTTATAAGCTCTATTTTATCATGACATATTTGAATAATATATTTTTATTAGTTACTAATAACTAGTCGGTAAATTCACCCTCATATGAGATGTTATTTTAAGATATAGCAGAAAATTAAAAATAGTCATATGCATAATTTAACTTCAATTTGTAGTCTAATATTTTTAAATAAAAAGTTTATAATATGCAATAGAAAATGGAAAATATGAACACAAATATAGAGAGCATACCTCTGGAAATACAGGGTAGAAATATTGTAGGAGCAATAACACTACCTTTCATAGTCATTGTGCTTGAAGCATCATTAAATCTTAAGATATATTTATAAAACTTCCTAAGTCTACAAAGCAAAGAACAGGGGAGATTTGTGATGGAACAGAAATCCAAGAAAGTTTCAATTACTGCTAAAGGTAATGCAGAATGAAATGATAGAAAAAGAATAAATATTGAAATAAATCACTTAATCACTTAATCACTTACCTTCCCATTAATTGTCGATTTGCTCGAGCGGGTGCCAGTAATGTCTCCATTTGTCCCTGTTGCGTGCTAGTGTGGCCCAATGGCGCCTGTTCACTCTAGGAACATGAAGAGCCTTAAACTGATCATTCATGATCTTGATGAAGAAGTCTGACCATCTGGTAGGTGGGCAGCCACGCAGTCTTTTGACATCCCGTGGAATCCAGTCAGTAACAGCTCTAGTCCAGCAGTCGTCTTTAAATCTCATTACATGACCAGCCCATCTGATTTTTGACACCTTGGCAAATGAGACAGCGTCCCTGATTCTTGATCGTCGACGGATGTCGGAACTCCGGATTCTTTCTCTCATTTGAGTGGAACATGATATTCCAAGCATAGTTCTTTCAATTCCTCTTTCGGAGACCCGAATAGCGTTCTCATCCTGTTTGCATAGGGCCCAGTCTCTGAGGCATATGTTAATGCAGGAAGAACAGTGGAATCAAAGAGATGTGCCCGGAGCCGGAGGTTCTTCATCCTCTTAGCTATTTCTTCGATGCTCTTGAAGGCATTCCAAGCACTCTCTTCCTCCTGCGCTGCTCGGGTGCCAGGTCATTTGTCATGTTGACTTCTCGACCTAGGTACACATAGCTGTTGCATTCGAAGATGGTCATTTCATTGAGAGCGAATGGGGCATCAGGAAGGAGGCTGTTTCTCATAAACATTGTCTTCGTAAGATTCAGCTGTAGTCCGACTTTTCCAC